CTCATGATGATCTCCAAGGAGCTTAGAGTACTTAATCTTGTGTCTAACCTGAAACTTTTTCAAGCCCCATTGGGTATATGATTAGGTACCTCTCAGAAAAAGGGAACTAAAAAGTCTGGCAAAAGTCTTGCAGAGGTGAGATGAAACATAAGAATAATGTTTTAGAAACTCAGAGTGATGTGATTTCTGTAGAGTAAAAAACAGTTGTGATCAAAGGAAAGAAGGTTTTTAATTTTTTTAACAAGACTTTTAGTTTTAAATTATGCATTATTAGTCTGGGCCACTTTTATTTTCATAACGTCCAGATGCTTTGTAAAATGTAATTCTGTAACCAGAAAACTGCTCTAGTTAAAATTCTGAACTGAACTGTACTGTTAAATGTTATCCAAGTTGGCTGTTTTATCAAAACTAGTGCATATCATTTCTAAGTTGAATTTACTGTTTGGGATACTGTTTTTCATGTATTTTAATAAATATGATTCCATTTTAAAAGAAAGTAAAATGTTCAAACTATGGATTGAGGTTTCTTTAAGCTGCAATTTAAAATTAATATTTTGACATTTTCCACCAAAAGACTTATAATCACAGGATAGGAGTGAAGACTCTAAACATGGCCGAAGAAAGAGATATCCCCTTTCTCAAACTTACAGTTTGTCCTTGTAATGACTAAAACAGATGCCTGCTTTGCCACAGATCTATTGCCTCAGAGTATGCATAAATTTAAGCATTGGAATGATCATTTCTGTGGCGTTTGTTTTGGTAGCCCTACTTGGAGAGTATAGTGTTACCCAGCATGAGTAAAAGTGGCAAACATGGGTCCTTCATTATTGCCATTTCATCAAAATAAATGTGCAACATGTGGCCATTACTCTCAGAGCTGAGTCAATGGGAACTTTGCTAGCTTTCACACAGGAGGCACAGGAAACTTTACAGGGATGCTGTAAAAAACCTGAGATCACTGCATGAACATCTGTGCTGCAGACCTTTGGCACTGGTGCTACCTCGATAGCTGGCTTGATCCTGCCCCGTCCACACAGGCACTCTATGGTTTTCCCTTTAGCTGATCAAAATTTCATAAATGCATTTCTTTTTCAGAAACAGAAGTTTTTTGCTGGTGTGACTAAGTATTCAGGCAAGGAGAGAAACATAACAATGTAATTTGAGACACATAATGAGCACAGTAAGAACTGTAAGCACTGGACTGTAGTTACATGGAAAGAATCAAGGTCTTGAAAAGGATAGTTTTGTTGTGTAGCACAGAAGGAATCACTGTGTAAAAGCTTCACATGGAGCTAAAAGCAGTCAGAGCTTGGGAATAGTTGACTTTATACGACAACAAGAACTTAAATTCAAGCCTTCTGCTATGCTGTGGAGACATTTTTTTCTTTCTCTCCCTTTTTCTGCCCTCAAAAAGGGACTGGCTCCAACAGGAGAGAGTGACTCACTCAGAGCCGCTGCTTCAGGCAGCTGCTTGAGATGTGAAAGACTGAGATGCTATGCAGCAAGTCTCATTACTCACCACTTGCATAAATCTTCTAGCAAGCAATGAAGAGTTACAGCTGGTTCCTGTGAGAGCCCAAGCACGTTCTGAGAGGGAGAGAGAGCTTTCGATAACTTCTGAAATACATGGCAGACAGGCACCCTGAAGGAGGGTACCTGGTTCAGCATTACACTCCTGCATTTTCCTACACAAAACCAGATGTATTTGGCAAAACTTGAGTCATCTAGCTAGCAGAGTTTAATTAATTCTGATGAAATGTTGATTGCAATTAAAATTGCTAGAGAGCAGTCCACTATCTACCATATTATGTTGGTTCTTTTTAGTCTTTTTTTTTCTTGTAAACAGTTTGATAATCACAGACTGTCTATTTCCTGGGTTGCAAACTGATAAAATAATTATTCTCCACATATCAAGGGCAAGAGTTTGCAGAACAAGCAGTTATACAAAAGGCAATAGCCGAAAACTTATCTAGGATGTTTTTAGAACAAATGATATGTCACTAGAATTTAATAATTAAAACTTCCGGAAATAACATTGAAAAGGCACATGTTGTTTGAAAGGGGTGAAATTCACACAAGCAAACAGAAAGTTGGAATTTATCCTAACCAAAGATTAGATTACAGGCAAAATATCTAGTCCCTACTTGAGTTTTTTAGAGGGATCGTTGAATTTCACTCTCTTTAAAGTCAGTTTTACCCAAGACACTTATATCTGATCACAAATAGTTTGGGGGAGGAACAGAAGGAGTGATACAACAAAACTCTGCCCTGCAGATTAGCATACACACTCTGGAATTTAACAAGTCCTTATTCCTGTATGCAGTAACGTTGAAGTCCATTAGGACTACTTCCACATGTAAAGTTTTGGAATATCTTATCCATGAGCAATAAATGAAAAAGAATGTACAATCCTATTTTAAAATATTGCAGAGAAGAGCACCTGAGAACTGCCAGACTGTAATGTTACACCAGATGTTGGGATTTGTTCTCAGGCAGTAATGTTTGCTCATCAATGAGCCTTCAATGCTGTAGAAAGATCTGCAGCTGCAGTTAATTCATTATCCACAGAAATGAGGACCGTATAGGCTGCACACTTCACACATTTCTGACTTACATTCACAGGACTAAATCCAAAAAACCCTAGATATTTGTAGATAAAGACCAAGTTCTGAACTTTTAACTCAGCAAAGTAGCCTTTACACGTTAATGTCAATTGTACTATTTGCAACCACAGGAATTTCCTTGAATGGAGAGGCTTGCAGGAAAAATGTTGAGCAGTCCAACTTGCCTGTCCTGCCAAGGAGGCTGCAAGGCTCAGGGAAGCAATGTCTTCAGCTGAAAAGAGGCACTCTGATCTCTTAGATATGACACACCTTCCAACAGTATTGGTGTCATCTTGTAGAACTCTTGTGATGGAAGGGTTCTTGAAGGACAGAATTAAGCTGAAGGAATACTCTCTCAACAGATAGCTGGTCTATTATATTTGGAAGAGCTACACGGAAACTTCCACGTTGCACATTACGAGGTGCATGGATGGGTTTTTAAAGGTGTAGGTATATGTCATCACTTTGAGTCTGGCAGGGTTTTTGTACGCAGGGGGAGAGCTGAGAGAGATGACTCATGTGAAACTGCCAGAACCTCCCTCAGCCCCAGGTAGAAATTAGACCTGCCTCTGGCCAGGGCCAGGCCCATCAGAGCCTATGCAGTCAAGGTATTTAGGAGGTGACCTTATTATTTCCTTCTCTTTCTTTGTGTCTTGATTTGTCCTGTCTTTCACATTGGGGAGTTTTTCTGCTGGAGGAAGGGGAATTGAGAGGAAAACAAAGGAATGTGGACTTTTCCCTGGAGCTCTGTGGTAAGTGAGATGGCAGGAAGATCATTGCTTGCCAACTGAGGGGATCAACAGAAGCAAGAACATCCTGGATGACACGGTATATGGAGAACCCAAGGCCAGAGGGGAGAGAGACCAAGCATCAGCGGGGAATGAACCTGAAGTGATATATGTCCTTAATGGACACACAAGGAGGAAGACAATTGCCTCTTGTGTGGTGGGCACCACGTGGCAGGAAGGAGAGTCCTCTCTTTTGACAGGGAGAAGCTGCCATGGACTATGAGTAATGGCCAGATGGACTGCACCCCCCACGCCCTGCACCCCCTGCACTGATGGTGGGGAGGAGGTAGCCAGGAAGATGGGAGGAGAAGGGAGGGAGTATATTTAAGATCAGGTTGTATTATTTATGTATTCCTCTCACCAACTTACTCCAAAAATGGTAGTGGTAAATTAAATCTGTTTTCTCCCCAAGTCTACTTTTTTTTTTTACCTGTAATCTTAAGTGGTAGTGTTTCTTTAAGGACAGCAGAATAATTTTATTACCTTAAGAGAGGTAAATCAGTCTCTCAAAGAATATTGCTTCAAGGACAGGAACAGGCAACAAGGAAATTTTTCAGATGGTTAGTAGAAAAGATAATACAATAGTGTGCACCTGGAGACAGCAAGTAGACTGTTGCTTAGAAAGTTTTAACAAGTTTTTCATCCTTGGGGGTGCGTGGAATCAGACCTAAGCAGGACTTTTCTAGTCCAAACCTCCTTTATGGAGATTAGAGGGCACCAAAACATCAAACATTGTTTATGAAAGGCTGAAAGTGAGCCAAAATTAAACACGGCAATGGGAGATTGTGACCACCAACTCAATTCAAGCGCTGAAAACTTGCTCCCCCACACCCACAAGGAGCATGTGTGCTAATTTACATAAGAGGCAAAGCTAATTTTAATATACTGATCCAATGATGAATGTAATCGCTATCACTAACCAGTAATTGCAGAATTAGTGGCACTAATAAACTACAAAACATATATATGTTGCAGTTTTTCGAGGTGGTATGCTAGTTTCTACGGTACCATTTGACTGGCACATGAAACACTGAGCAACTGAGAGAAGAATTTACAACAGCCTTCATTACCTAAAAAACATGATGGGACAAAATGCCTGGAATACAGAGGTAGCCCCTAAATTAGTGGCATCTCAGAGGCCTGAAAATGGCCAGGTTTATATGTGGTGTGGAAACAGCCTCTCTTATTGCTTTGGAGCATTGAAGACAGAATACCAGGTTAGATGACAGCTATCCACCTGGTCATGTAAGACATTTCTTCTGTTCTTGTGTTCATCGGTGTGACACAAAGACACTAAGATGTAGTCAGGCACTAAAATATATAGCATTAGTGGACTTATTGGTGACGGTGGACACAGTGTGTCATTCTGTGTAAAAACACTACTCAGGCTGAAATCTTACCTTAAAACGTTGCCTATCTTTACCTGCCTTAAGACATTTGTTTTAATTTGGCTTTCCAAATTATTTTGGCTTTTTTGACGTAGCAATAAAACAGTTTTGTTAAAATCTGCATGCGCCACAAGAGCTGAAACAAAAGACGTATTAAAGAAAACACTTTTCAGGGTTAGCATGATGAGCATACTGAAAATTATAACGAAAAAAAAGCTTACGTTCATAGCAGTAGGCATCAAACTTGCTATCTGGGTAAGGAAAGCCTGTTTGGTTCTCATAGCGATACAGGGTTCTCACCCCAAGTAAACCTCCGCCACACTGGGGCCTTGCCACCGAGGCTGGGTAACGAACGCTGCCATCTGCCAGCCAGCCATAGTCACACTGGTCAAAGCCATTCCTCCAGGCCACATACAGGTTCCCAACAGAAGCAAGAACGCCATCTCTTTTCCGACACATCTCTTTAGCTTCCTCGAAGGTGAGCTTCTCAGGGACTGAGACGTGAACCACTTCATCTAGAGGAAGAGAACAGAGATAACAAAAGCTAAGTATCGCATGCCACCATCAAGACAGCTTAGTTCCTCACTTCCAGTCCTGCAAGGCTGAGATTTTTTTCCAAAATTTGTTTGAATAGTTTTTTGCTTAAAGAAATCATATAACTTGAAAATTAAATGTCCTAGATTTTAATATGAAAATGAACTCAGCACAAAGCATGAGCATTTATATGCAAACTTTATGCCATGAAGTACACCATGGATGGACATTGAGTTCCTTCCTGAGTCTCTTGACTGAGGTAACAGCAGCCTTTAAGCTCCTCTGTGACCTCTGTTGGAGTAGACTTTGCAACTCAATTACATTAATTAAATCCAGTCCAATACAATTTACTTTCTCAGTAAAACAAATCTTTTACATCTGCGAGCCTCTTATCTGATCTTTTTAGTCATCACTAGAATCTCACTTGAGACACACACAAAAAAGCAAACGTTCCTCGGTGGCTGCTCCACAGCAGACTCTAATGTTATACTTCAATCAGTGTTCACTTTGTCCCATGGGGGAACGAAAGTGAGAGAATGCAGCAGACACGTTACACGCACAAAGCCCTTTTCGTGAGAAAAAGCTGAATTAGTCTAGAATGCTGGTACTATAGTTTAGCTTCCATGGAATAACAACTTGTAAATAATAGCCATTCAGTTGAAAACTTAAACAAAACAAATAGCAAATCTAATATCTTGCTTCCAAGCTAAATTACCATTATGTAGTTGGCTCAGTTGCCTCATTTGCCCAAACAGCATAAAACAAAATCAAGGCTCTAATGTTCATGTCCTGGAAATGAAAAAGTAAACTGACCCCTTCCTAGTTTTTTGCTTGGACTTCATGTGGAATTGATGAGACCTAAACCCAACCCGTTCAGCTGTAGAAAACAGTGCAAATTCAAACTAACTGTTACAAGACAGTAACTCTCTTCCTTAACTACAGTTGGCCAGAACACAACAGTCGCTGTTCCAGGAAAGCACTGTTTATTCACATAGGACACATAATCTGTCTTACCTCTGCAGTTGTCTCAAGGCAATCTAGCAAAAGGCAGACAGAAACTACACCACCCCAAGCAGTTTCGTTGACATCAATATCACATTTGTTTCGAGTTTGAACGAAATGCAAGTGTGAAAGAAGGCGATATGCCAATTTTCTTTGTCCTCCAAGGTAGAAAATCTGATTTGTTATTACAGCTGTATCAATTAAAATATCAATTTCATAGTGTATGTTTCTTTATATATGTTGTAGGGAGTTTAGAACTTAGAGGTAAAGGGAGAGAGCACGTCTTTCAGAGAGGGACAGATAAGGAAAGCAAAATCATTCATCCTCAGAAGTACTGGAATGATTCATTCAGCTCTTCAGATCACAAGGTTAATGCACTTTTTTATTGAATACTTTTGCAGAACACAGCTTTGTCGGCATCAAGGGGCAGATCTGGTATCATGGCCAATACAGAATGATAGATGCAGTTATCCCACCATTCTCTCCCAATAGTATTATCATGAAACAAAGGAGCAAAGACATCTCCAAAGCCTCCCTCTCTGTTCCAAGCACTATTCACTTATCCTCTCACACAACAGCCACGATGTATGTTAAAAGCAGTAGTTAAAGTGATTGCAATTAAATAGCACGGATGAGTCCAGTTAAACAAGCAAATGGGACAAGTAAGAAAAGCAATGCATTTTAATAGTTTCTAGAAACAAATATGACAGATCAAAAACCCAATCGTGTCAAACAATCCCACAACATTCCTTCTGGGAGAAACTTATTGAATACACAGGAAAATGGATAAACAGTGCAAGACTATTAGCAAAGTAATTCTTCCATTAACTGATCTGGATCACTGCCTCCAAATGGAGCTTGTGCATAACATCATTGATGTTAGAGGTATTTATTCCTCTGAGCTGTCATCTGCACTCTGTTAAAGCAAAGAAACTCAGTGAACAGTCATGTCTTGCTATAAGGCTTAAAAATGCAGGCTTCAATCACTATTTATGTAAGAGAGGTCACTTTTCAGAGAAATTAACGTTGCATAAGAGCTTTTCTGTATAGAAATCTGTCTTAAATTTGCCTTGGAGTATGCCTGTATATGCAAAGTTAGTACCGCACATTTTAAAGACAAGTAGCATAACATTCTTTGTATTGAATCTATCCTACTCACTCCACATTTGTTTATTTAGTCCATCTTTTAGAGTCAGCTGCTGTCATACAGGTACCATCTTTGTCAAAGGAAGTTTTACCATAAAATCTAAATTATAAAAAGCCCCATGTGTTTCGAAAGAAAATTCGTCCTAACCAGAACAGTCTGAAAAGTGAAGTCCAAAGTCACATTCCCAGCTACCTATTTGGTATATTAAAGAATTTGTCATTATAAAATCACAAACAAGGTAAAAAGGCATCAAAGCAATCAGCAAAATGCTCTTATTGTCATTCCATCATATGTCAGATAAATACTCATTTATTTCAGGAGTCCAGGTGATAAGAGAAAGGGTACAGAGATGTTAAAACTTGACAGCTTACAATTACTCCAGTTAAAGAGTACATTTCTATGATTCCAGAATTCTTATTTAAAAAAAAAAAAAAAAAGCAGTTAAGTGCAAAAGTCAGATTCCAAACAGCAGTCATTTTCTCTAGGAAATATGACTCCACAATTTGTATGTCTAGCTTGAAAATAAATTAAAATTCTGTATGATTGAGTGTGCACTTAATGTGCATAATAGTTTTTGAAACAAAATGAGAAAAACAGAGCAAGAGTTTAATGAAAGACCTTGCTTGCTATGCATATCCAGAAACACTTAAAAGTTGTCCTGCAATGTTCCAGAACCACCTTACCAAAGAAAAAGAGAAAACGGTACTCGAAACACTTCTTCAGCTGAACATCATCGGTTTGATTTACAGCAGTTCTAAATTATGTGATGAGAAAGTTCGCACAATCTTTCCTACGCTTCTCACCCAGGACAGACTGTGGGCGCGTATACCTCATGCACAGCAAACTTATCATTTCAAAGATATAATTACTCATACAGCACAGAGATAACTAATCCAACCCTATTGTTTGTGTGTAATAAGTGCAAGTGCAATCACATAGAGTGCGCAGAGATGACACTTTGCTATCTACATCACTTCTCTGACATGATTAGTGCCGAGGCTCTTGCTTACCACCAGCCAAAATATTGACACTTTAGGTGTACATTCTAGAAGTGCTACTTAATAATTCAGCTTATCATATGTGAGAAGGGCGCTGGTCCTACTTCACTGCCAATGTGGCGTTTTCTGTCACAGTGAGAACTTGGGCTAAAAACCACATTCTTCCTCAGTCAGCTTACACAAAAGCTGGGCAACAAAGCAGGAAATACCAAAGAAGGTGTGTGAAGAAAGGTGCTGATTGTTGAAGGAAGAAAAGCGAGAAACTCTAGGGACTTCCTCTGCCACCACCAAGCACTTGGGGGAAAAAAAATTATACAATGCGAAATCGGGTTCTGCTGAGTTCTTTCATGGACTCAATCTCAAAACTGATAGGCTTTCAAGTCACCATGGAAAAAGGACTTGTCCTCCAATTCTGACTTCCAGCATGTCACTCAATGTAGCTGAAACATCCTGACACCTTCAAAGTACCAAAAAGGAAAGGGTTTAACCCTTGCAGAGAAAATTCCGCTAAAAAGCAGTAAAAAACCCCTAATGGTGAGGCTAATAAAATGCATTTAATCCACGTAGTCTCTAAAATTAACTGCTGGTTTTTGGAAGCACAATGGTTTCTGTATCTAGCAGAAGGATACATCCTGCCACACTCTAACAGTGTCATTAGTAAGGCAACTGAAAGCACCTCAATTTCCCAGGCAAAATACTGGAAAGGAGGAATTTAAGAGAGAAAACTGGCCTATTTGATGAACAAACCATGTAGCTACCAACACCAAAGCAGGGTTGATTCAATATTTGTGTGTGTGTGTAATATTTTTATAGCTAGAGTACACTCCAACTAACTAGCAGACAATAATATCATTGCTGGCTTCTGTTTAAAACCAAGCTTCAGGTTGATCACCCAGCTTCAAGGGTCAGAGCACTTGAAGAATCCCTTGTAGACCAGCTTCGGGGCAGGTAGGACTGCGCTGAGGAACAGATCTAAAGCGAAAAGTGCCAACGAAAAGCTCTTTTTTTGGGGGGGGGGAG